CGCGCACATTCGTCTTAACAGTTTGCAAGAGCTTAACGGATTGAGGGCGGGCCGTTTTCAAAATGCGGCTCTCGCCTTAGCGCCGCTCGCATTCGTTTTAAAACAACGCCTCCTCCTCATCATCACCATCAGCATCACAATCAGCAGCATCATCATCAACATCACCAGCATTATCATCATCACCAGCCGCACCATCATCGTCATCAGCATCACCCTCATCTACATCATCATCACCATCTCTCATCCGCATCCTCCTCCTCCTCATCATCATCATCATCATCAACATCAACATCAGCACCACCATCAACATCAGTAACATCATCAACATCATCATCATACGCCGTCTCATCCTCATCCTGAACCTCCTCCTTCTCCTCATCCTCCTACTCATATTCCTCTTCCTCTTCGTTTTCCTCATCCTCCTCGTCGTCCTCCTATGTCCTCCTCCGCCTCCTCCTCCTCTCTCGCATCCTCCGTCCCCCTTCTCCTCCATCCGCCTTCTCCACCTTCCTCCCCCGCCTCCTCCTCCTCCCGCCTCCTCCTCCTCCCTCCTCCTCCTCCTCCCTCCTCCTCCTCCTCCTCCTTCTCCTCCTCATCGCTCCTCCTTATCGCCATCCGCCACCAAGCGGAGGTGGAGATGGAGATGGAGGAGGAGGAGGAGGAGGAGGAGGAGGAGGACGCGGAGGAGGATGAAGGAGGAGGACGAGGATGAAGGAGGAGGCGGGGGAGGAGATGGACGAGGATAATGGAGAGGAGGAGAAGGAGGAGGGGGATGAGGAGGAGGAGGAGAAGGGCGAAGAGGAGGAGGACGAAGAGGGGATAGACGAGGAGAGCGGGGAGGAGGAGGAGGAGGAGGAAGATGCGCAGGAGGAGGAGGTGAAGGAGGAGGATGGATGATGAGGATGCTGATGCTGCTGCTGGTGCTGATGGTGCTGATGATGCTGGTGCTGATGATGACGATGCCGGATTATGTTGGTGATGTTGTTGATGAGGACGTTGACGATGCTGCTGATGCTGATGATGATGGACATGAAGGTAGTACGGCTGGTGTTGCTCATGGTGATTATGGTGGATGATGATGGTGATGATGATGGCGATGATGATGCTGATGCTGCTGATGACGATACAAATGATGATACTGATGAGGATGATGAATGTGATGTTGATGATGAGGATGGTGAGGGTTGTGCTGACGATGACGATGCTGATGATGACGATGATGCCGATGATGATGATGATGATGATGATGATGCTGATGATGATGATGATCATCATCATGATCATGATGATGATGATGATGATGATGATGATGCTGATGATGCTGATGATGATGCTGCCGATGATGATGATGATGATGATGGCGATGCTGCTGCTGCTGATGATGGTGATGGTGATGATGATGTTCTTGCTGCAGGTGTGTATGATGTTGATGCTGATGTTGTTGATGATGATGATGGTAATGTGATGATGATGATGATGATGATGATGGTGCTGATGCTGATGATGCTGATGATGATGATGCTGATGATGATGATGATGATGATGTTGTTGGTGATGGTGGTGGCGATGATGGTGATGATGATGGTGGTGCTGGCGATGGTGATGCTGACGAGGAAGAGGAGGAGGACGCGGAGGAGGAGGAGGAGGAGGAGCAGCAGGAGGAGCAGGAGGAGCAGGAGGAGGAGGAGGAGGAGGAGGAGGAGGAGGAGGGCAGGTTGTTTGGGTACGGGCCTGGAGCCGAGCTCCTCGCATCTATCCGAAACCCGAGGCATCTCGCTCATCGGACGAAGCTCGGATCGAAACTTCCCCTCGGGCCTTCACCCAAGGGGTGTCGGCCTCCATTAGGCCGGGCGAGTCCAAAATCTGTCCTCGCGAGGCAACGCCCGACGCAACGCCAAAAAGTTGGTGACCAAACTCGTCCTGGGGGGGGCGTCCGTTCTCAGCCAGAGCTTGAGCCATCACCCGACGTTTGACGAGATCCAGGCCCTCGTGGGCCCCCAAAATCAAGTCCTTGAGGTCCTTCTTATATGACGGAAGCTTACCGAGCCGAATCCGCTTCAGCTGTTCCTTAATTCCGCCAGTGGAAGGCTTGGGCCTGCACGGCCCCGTCGCTCCAGCACTGGGAGCTCCCGAGCAAAAGGGCCCGCAGCGACAGCAAAACTGCACCCTGCTTTTTGGGGAGCCGAGGCGGTCCAGGACGGCGCAGGCAAAGAAGGCGTGGCCATTCGCACGAAGAACTCGCTGAGAGAACGAGGAGGAGGAGCAGCAGGAGAAGGAGGAGGAGGAAGAGGAGGGAGGAGGAGGAGGAGGAGGAGGAGGAGGCGGATGAGGAGGGGGAGACGGATGAGGAGGAGGATGGAGGAGGAGGATGAGGAGGAGGGAGGACGATGATGATGATGATGATGATGATGATGATGATGATGATGATGATGATGATGATGATAAACATGATGATGATGATGATGATGATGATGATGATGATGATGATGATGATGATGATGATGATGATGCTGATAATGCATATTTGATGATGGTACGATGATGACGGAAAGGAGGACGAGCAGGAGGGTGATGATGATGGTGATGGTGATGATGATGATGATGACGATTACGATGATGATGATGATGATGATGATGATGATGATGGTGGTGGTGGTGGTGGTGATGATGATGATTATGATGATGCTGATGATGTCGATGGAGAGGAGGAGGAAGAGGAAGAGGAGGGAGGAGGAGGGATGATGATGATGATGATGATGATGATGATGATGATGATGATGATGATGATGCTGATGCTGATGCTGATGATGATGATGATGAAGAAGAAGAAGAAGAAGAAGAAAAAGAGGAGGAGGAGGAGGAGGAGGAGGAGGAGGATGAGGCGGAGGAAGGAAGAGGGGCATGCACAGCGAGAGAAGAGGGACCCCCGCGGCGCCAGCTGCTCCCGCAGTGGCCGGCAGTGCGGCACCAGCTCCAGAGCCAGCTCCTCCGCCCCAGCGTAACCCCGCGCACGGCTGGTGAGCACCGAGGGGGCCACGGTGTCGGGCCTTCAGAGGAAGAAACAGGAGCGCATTTTGTTTTTTCGCGGCCGTAACGGGCGTTATTTAACGGGCTAAGAACGGTATACAATAAACTTTCCGCCGTCGGGGACACCTGCCCCAAGGCGGCTGGAAAGTTTATACACTTACGGTGGCACCGTAGGGGTATAAACTTTCCAGCCGCCCAGGGGCAGGTGTCCCCGACGGCGGAAAGTTCATTTTATACCGTTCTTCGCTCGCTGAGTTATGGGGGGGGCAGGGGGAGGAGACGGGAGGGGGCATAACGGCATAACGTAGCGCCCCCCCCCCTCCAGACTGTGGTGCCAGACGCACTGCGGCAGTGCCGGGAACGCACTGCGGGGGGGAGCGTTATACGGTATGGGGGGTGAGGGGGGGAGGGTAGGGGGCATAACGCGCGTCATGGCACAGAGGGCAAAAAAACACTCTCGAGGAAGAAACAACATCTTTTTCGCGCCTCTCGTTAAGACGGAGCCAGGACGAATATTAAAATCAGATGGGGATAGATCAAGAACCTCTGAGGTCAGATCCGCCGACCCCTTGGGGATCATCGGCGTGTGAGATGCTTCCCCCTCCCCAAACCCCTCCCCCGGGAGCCCGGTCCGGTCGATTTGGAGGGGGGGGGGGGGTCCGGGACGAGCGCTCCGGAGGGGGGGGGGGGTCCGGGACGAGCGCTCCACGGGGCTTTTCCTGGCCCAAGAGGGCTTCAAGACGGGCCACGAAGCCCCCAAGAGGCCTCCAAGACGGCCCACGAAGGCCCCGAGACGCCAAACGACCGCTCCAAGACGCCCAAGATGGCCCCAAGACGGGCCAAGAGGTCTCCAAGACGGCCCCCGAGGTCCCAAACAAGCCTCCCAAGAGGGCCCCAAGAGTCTAAAATTGTTGATTTTCCATAGTGTTTTTCGATGTTTTTTGCTTTTCCGCCTTTTCGGCTTCCCGACGCTCCAAGACGGCCAAAGAGGCCCCAAAGACAGCCCCAAGATGGCCCAAGAGGCCCCCAAGACGGCCTCCAGACGGCCCAAGACGGCCCCAACACGGCCCAAGAGGTCCCCAAGACGGCCCAAGAGGGCTCCAAGACGGCACCAAGAGGGGCCCAAGAGGGCGACCAAACATGTTGAAACTCTAGCTTTCTGCCCCCAGGAGCCCCAGGGGGCCCCAAGAGTGCCCCAAGAGGCCCCCAGAGGCCCTCACGAGGCCGCCCAGACGCCCCAAGGAACCCCCAAGAAGCACCCCAGAGGCTCCGAAACGGCCCCCAAGTGGCTCCAAAACTCGCTTCCAGAGGCCCCCGAGAAGCGATCCGCGAGATCCCGATACACATACAAGAAGCCTCTCAAGGGGTCGGCGGTGTGGCGTAAGCCTAAGAATCAAGAACCTCTGAGGTCTGGCGACTCTGGAGGATGTCTCGGGCGCCGCGGCCTTCTCAGCGTTCCAGAACGCTCTGAGAGCGTTCCGGAACGCTCTGGAGAGGATCTATCCTCGTCCAAGCCCCGCCTGATTCGTCTTCGCTCGTGAAACGTCTGAACACGGACACCTGCAGCCGGACCTGGGACAGAAGAAGGTCCTTCAACAGCATGAGACCCTCTGGCGACTGAGCTGAAGAGTATTCGAGGGTACCCTCCCCCAGGATGCACAAGAACATCCAAGAAACACGAAGACCATTAGGATACCCTCCCCGACTCGCCCTCGATGCAACTCTCGGCCCCGCCGTACGGCAGGCTCGTGCGGCGTCGGCGCACGCCAAGGCTTTTGACACTGCGTCGATCGCTCAACCTTGAATCGATCGCGGCCCCGATGGTTCAAGATTGAATGCCGTCGGGTCCAACGGCGTTACCGTGTCCCTCGGTGCTTCCGCGTTGCAAGATTTGAGCTTGAGCGCCTTCGCCGGCGCGCCAACGCCGCGCGAGCCTACCGTACACTGGGGAGCAAAACCGGCAGAAAGAGGGGAACAGGAGACGCATAAATCCCACCAGCCTTCCAGGGCGTGAGTGGACTGGGGTGCTACTTCCCTCTTCCCCTTCGGGGAGGGGTTTTCCCCTCCCCCTATACTTAAGTCGGGCCTGTCCCCCATACAAGGAGATTTTCGACGAAAAATAAAAAATATAAAAAAAATATTCCAAAATGGTCAACAATACTACAATATAGTCCCCAGACTATTTTTTGACTATTTTTGAATATTACCCCTATAGAGGGACAGGCCCGACTTGACCCTATACCCTAAACCCTCCCCCCTGGGACGGGACGGGGGGGGCCGCGAGGTGGCAGAGGGTTTTGGGGGGCCTCGACGAGGAAGCCAACATTATTCCCCAATTAGGTTTGCATAAAGGGTTCTTACTTGGGGACAGGTTGGTACATCGGATTCTTACGTTGCCCGTTGCTCGGAGATTCCCTGGCTTCCTCCATTTCCCCGGGTTCATCGGGTCCTCCGCCCCCGGTGCGTTCCCCAGGTTCCCCGAGTTCCCCGGGTTCCCCAGGTTCCCCGGGTTCCTCGGGTTCCCCGGGTTTCCCGGGTTCCCCGCCCCCAGTGCCTCGTATTGCTACTGGTCCCGTTCCAAGCAATGCCAAGCACTGCGCCCATGCAATAGGTAGCTTTCCCCTAATTGGTCGTGCCGGGTTCATTGATTTGAAAATGAACCCGGCGCGATCCCAATTACAGTATGCGGTGGGCGGGGCGGCGCATGTAAATCCTGCCAATGGGGCCTTGGGTGGAGCTCCCTATGGGGCCACGAACGTTGTGAGGGGTGTGCCGAAATGCACATGCGGTGGGCGGGGGTCCGCACGTGACCCTGTCAGTGCGGCGTTTGGTGGAGCTCCCTGTGGGGCCACGAGCCGTGTGAACGGTGTGCCGACATGCACATGCGGTGGGCGTGGAGCCTGCATGTGGACCCTGTCATTGGGGCCTTCGGTGGAGCTCCCTATGGGGCGACGAAGCGTGTGAGGGGTGTGCATGCGGTGCGGGGGGGGGAATTGCATGCGAACCCTGCCACTGGGGCCTTGGATGGAGCTCCCTAAGGGGCCAGGGGCCACGAACCGTGTGAGGGGTGTGCCGAAATGCACATGCGGTAGGCGGGGAGCCGCCTGTGGACCGCCTGAGGGGTGTGCCGAAATGGACGCGTGGTGGGCGAGACCCCGCATGCGAATTGTGCCACTGGGGCCTTGGGTGGAGCTCCCTGTGGGGCCACGAACCGTGTGAGGGGTGTGCCGGAATGGACGCGCGGTGGGCGAGACTCCGCATGCGAACTGCGCCACTGGGGCCTTGGGAGGAGCTCCCTCTGGGGCCACGAACCGTGTGAGGGGTGTGCCGAAATGGTCGCGCGGTGGGCGAGACCCCGCATGCGAACTTTGCCACTGGGGCCTTGGGTGGAACTCCCTATGGGGCCACGAACCGTGTGAGGGGTGTGCTGAAATGGACGCGCGGTGGGCGAGACCCCGCATGCGAACCGTGCCAGTGGGGGCTTGGGTGGAGCTCCTATGGGGCCACGAACCGTGAGGGGTGTGCCGAAATGGACGCGCGGTGGGCGAGACCCCGCATGCGAATTGTGCCACTGAGGCCTTGGGTGGAGCTCCCTCTGGGGCCACGAACCGTGTGAGGGGTGTGCCGAAATGGACGCGCGGTGGGCGAGACCCCGCATGCGAACTGTGCCACTGGGGCCTTGGGTGGAGCTCCCTGTGGGGCCACGAACCGTGTGAGGGGTGTGCCGAAATGGACGCGCGGTGGGCGAGACCCCGCATGCGAACTGTGCCACTGGGGCCTTGGGTGGAGCTCCCTGTGGGGCCACGAACCGTGTGAGGGGTGTGCCGAAATGGACGCGCGGTGGGCGAGACCACGCATGCGAACTGTGCCACTGGGGCCTTGGGTGGAGCTCCCTATGGACCACGAACTGTGTGAGGGGTGTGCCGAAATGGACGCGCGGTGGGCGAGACCCCGCATGCGAACTTTGCCACTGGGGCCTTGGGTGGAGCTCCCCATGGGGCCACGAACCGTGTGAGGGGTGTGCCGAAATGGACGCGCGGTGGGCGAGACCCCGCATGCGAACTTTGCCATTGGGGCCGTGGGTGGAGCTCCCCATGGGGCCACGAACCGTGTGAGGGGTGTGCCGAAATGGACGCGCGGTGGGCGAGACCCCGCATGCGAACTTTGCCACTGGGGCCCTGGGTGGAGCTCCCTATGGGGCCACGAACCGTGTGAGGGGTGTGCCGAAGTTGACGCGCGGTGGGCGAGACCCCGCATGCGAACTGCGCCACTGGGGCCTTGGGTGGAGCTCCCTATGGGGCCACGAACCGTGTGAGGGGTGTGCTGAAATGGACGCGCGGTGGGCGGGGGGAAGTGATGGGAGGAGGGAGGAGGGGGAGGTGGAGAACGAAGGAAGAAGACGAGGGGCGCGGTGTCTTTCAAAACGAGGACCCAACACAGGATGGTTGGGAATAGTACAAAGATGTCGGCGGTGGCCTGGGAGGGGGGTGGGGGGCGAGCCCCAAATAGGGAACCGACGGGCCGACCAACAAAAAACACAAACATTTTGACGCAGCTTTAGGGCGCATCGCTTGGGCCAAAAACAACAAACACAAAGGCTGCCCCACAGCGAATAATACAAAGATGTCGGCGGTGGCCTGGGAGGGGGGGGAGGCGAGCCAAAAAAAGGGAACCGACGGGCCGACCAACAAAAAACACAAACATTTTGACGCAGCTTTAGGGCGCATCGCTTGGGCCAAAAACAACAAACACAAAGGCTGGCCCGCAGCGAATAATACAAAGATGTGGGCGGTGGCCTGGGAGGGGGAATGGGGGCGATAAACAAAAAAAACGGGCAGACCAGCAAGCAAAAACACAAATACAAATATCTTGGCGTAGCCTTGTTGCGACACGCCTAAGCCACTAACGAAAAACACAGAGTCTGGCTCACCACGAAGAAATAAAAAGACCTTTGCAGTGGCGCAGGAAGCGGGGGGGAGCTAAGAAGCCAGATATCAATGGACCGACCAGCGGAGCCGCAGACGACAATCGAAACGTGCTGGCCGAAATGAAATAACACAAGCGGGCGGAAACACAAAGATCTCACCGCGCCATTTGGGGGGCGCGCACGGCCCTCAAAAAAAAACACAAGCGGCTGGAAACGCAAACGGGTTACAGTACCCCTTTTCAAGATTTCCCTCGCCGCCCCCCCTAAAAAAGAACCGCCCCCCCCAAAAAGAACCGGGGGGCAAAACAGAACAAACACAACCGGGCCCGGCCGCCTCATATGTTTCCAGCCTCCCTGTAGGGGTAGGGTTCGCATCTGGCCCCCTACTTCTGCTCCCCCCCTGGACGGCCTGCCGTGCTCCCGCGGGTTCAGGCAAATGGCGGGCTCCTCTGCGGGCGGGGCGCAGGGAAGCAAGCGAGCCCCCGTGAGGCAAACGGGTCCTGGGCGCTGGGGCCCTTCACCAAAATCGAGACCAGGCCCACGCACGGCGGAAAGCGTCGGGACCCGTGTTTCGAGGCGGGGCGCCTCGAGACAACGGCAGCTCAGAATCGGTCCCCGAGCCTCTCCCTGGGCCCGGGGTCCAAACGAGCCAGCTTTCCGAGCTGCGGCCAGCCATGGCGACGAGGAGGCCCCCCCGAAGGCGGCCAGCTACCGCTGCCTCAACTCAACATCCTCCGAGCTGGGCCGAATCGCGAAACAACGCGACTGGAGCACTATAGTCGGGGGCGGCCAAGAGAGGGGGGTGCCCAAAAGGGGGGGGTGCAAATCATGACCGGCGGCATGTGTGCGGCCCAGCGGGGGGGCCAGGGACGCAATGGAATAAGAAGAGGCGCCGTGAAATCTGGGGAAATACCATGGCCCACGCCATGACATCCCCCCCCCCCTAGCCATCACCCCCCTCGTTGCCGCCCCGACTTCGACCCCATCCTTTTGCACCGTTTCTCGCGCCGGATCGACCGGTGGAGGCCCCATGGGACCCGAAGCCGGGCGAAAGCTTTAAAGCTGCAACGCCCGGACCTCAACTCGCCCGCGGCTGCAGCCGGCTCCCCGAAGACCCGCTTGCTTCGTGGCAACTCTCCGCGACCGCCGCCAGCGTCGTGATGTTCCCCAACTGGGCTTGCCCAAGGGGCTTTTACTTGGTTACAGGTCGGCGCCTCCGATTGATACTTTGCCCGTTGCTCGGAGCTTCCTCGGGTTCCTCGGGTTCCCCGCCCCCGGTGCCTCCTATTGTTAATTTGCCCGTTCCCCCAAGCTTCCTCGGTTCCCCCGCGTTCCATGCCCCCGGTGCCTCCTCATGTTACTTTGCCCGTCCCCCCAAGCTTCCTCGGGTTCCCCCAAGCTTCCTCGGGTTCCCCGCCCTCGGTGCCTCCTATGGTTAACATTGCCCGTTCCTCGGAAGTTCCTCGGGCTCCCCGGGTTCCTCGGGTTCCCCGCCCCCGGTGCCTCCTATTGTTAACATTGCCCGTTCCTCGGAAGCTCCTCGAGCTCCCCGGGTTCCTCGGGTTCCCCGCCCCTGGTGCCCTCTTCTCAGCAATGCCAAAAACTGGGCATCGCTCGGACGTCCATTCCCTGTGTTCTTTTCGGTTTCGTGCGCGGTTTTTTCGCAAAATGATCAAGGATGCTCCTCGATGGTCTTCGCCGAAGGAAACATGCACAAGTCCGAGCGATGCCAAGAGCAATGCCAGGAGGAGAAGGAGGAGGAGGAGGAGGAGGGGGAGGAGGAGGAGGAGGAGGAGGAGGAGAGGAGGAGGGGGAGGAGGAGGAGGAGGAGGAGGAGGAGGAGGAGGAGGAGGAGGGGGAGGAGGAGGAGGGGAGGAGGAGGAGGAGGAGGAGGAGGAGGAGGAGGAGGAGGAGGGGGAGGAGGAGGAGGAGGAGGAGGAGGAGGAGGAGGAGGAGGAGGAGGAGCACTGCCCGGCCAAGCATTCCGAAGCAGTGCCGAGCGGTGCCGAGCACTGCGCCCCTGCAAGAGGACGCTGTCCCCCCACCGGGGTCGCGTTTTGCTTCACTTCCACGACGTGCCACCCCCCAGGGCCCCAGAGAGAGGGGAGGGGCGATCAATACAGCCGAGGCGTTGACCTAAGGAACCCCAAATAAGGAACGAGGCTCCTATGTTCCATAAGTGAAACTTCGATGTCCTATCGAAAACATAAGGAGAACCTGAGGCAAGCTGCGAAACACTTGAGGAACGCGGAGCCCCCCCAACCAAAAGGTTTCCTTCTTCAGGGCCCCGACTGTACAAGAAACCTTCCACGACAAACCCGACCCTGAGACCCCAGGACGTCCATGGACTTGCGGTGTGGGAACCTCACGCTCTCCATGGCAAAACCGTCGGAACCGCAGACACCCGGGGCACCCTGGAGGCAGGCAGGGCCTTTCTTGGCATGGTGGGCCTCCACTGTATCCCTGACCTCCCAGCTCGGCCAAGGAAGGCTTCCCCAGAAAGCTCAAGAGAGCCTGGCGAGAGCCCCAAAGGGCCTCCCAAGTGGCCCCAAGGGGAGGGGGAGGAGGAGGAGGAGGAGGAGGAGGAGGAGGAGGAGGAGGAGGAGGAGGAGGAGGAGGAAGAGGAGGAGGAGGAGGAGGGGGAGGAGGAGGAGGAGGAGGAGGAGGAGGAGGAGGAGGAGGAGGAGGAGGAGGAGGGGCGGTTAAATGGGGGGGGGGGGGGCTGCGAGAGCTGCCGAATACGGAGCCCTCCATAGCACTCCTCAAAAGGGCCACTTGGGAGCCCCAGCGCGGGCCCTGAGGGCTCGAACAGGGCACCCTTCCTCCCCCATTTACCCTAATAGAGAGCAGAAAATCCACCCCCAGAATAAGCACCCCGACCAGCGAAGCCGTTTAGTAAACGCACCCATGAAGGAATCGAACAGGGCAGGGCTGTTTAGTGAACGCCCAGGGCTGTTTAGTAAACGCGAATTGTCGGGGTCGGGGTGGTTTTTCCACCCTTGACCTAAGGAACCCTAAAGAAGGAACCCTAAATAAGGAACGAGGCCCCTTTTCCCATTAGTGCAACCTCGATGTCCCATGGAAAACCTCGGAAGAACCCGAGGCAAGCTTTGAAACGATCAAGGAACACCGAGACCCTCCCCAACGAAAAGGGGTTCTTCTTCAGAGCCCCGACTGTAGGAGCTCAACCACAAGAAACCTTCCAGAAGAAACCCAACCCTGAGACCCCAGGACGTCCATCGATTTTTGGTGTGGGATCGTCGCGCTTCAGTAGCAAAACCATCGAATCCAAAGAAATCCAGGGCACCCTGGAGGCAAGCATGGTGTTTCTTGGCATGGCTTTCAACTGCGTCGCTCCTCCATTAACTCGCGCCCAACTAAAGGTCTCGGCCACTTCCCCGAGACAGGCCTATCATCCTGGAGAGCCGTTTTTGTTGACGGCCCGCAGGGGCGTGCTCCCTGAGCAGGACGACGGCGAGGACGAGGACGAGGACGACGAAGACGACGACGACGACGCGGCGAGCGCGGGGTGGAAGCGAGAAGGAGCAGGCCTTCTCCGAAGGCGACGGGGCTTCTCAGCAGCCCTCCGAGCGTCCTGAGAAGCTCCTGAAGTGTCTCTCCAGGGAGGGCTCCGAAAAAACTTCCGAGCCTCCCGAGAAGCTCCTCTTGTGCCTCCTCGGGGATGGGCTCCGAGAGCCTCCGTCCGAGCCTGCCGAGGAGGCCCACCGAAGGCCTTCCGAGGCGGCGGCGACGACGACCTCGCGGCGCTCCTCCGCGACCGCCGCTGGCCTCGCCGCCCTCGCCACGGGCCGCCGGCGGATGCGGGGCGAGGCGGGCGGCGAGCCGGCGGGGGGCGCGGGCGCCTCGCCGCGGAGGCTGGGGAACTCCTGCCAAGGGTTGGAAGCTTGGAAGTTGGCACCAGCACCAACATCAGGGGTTGCCTCCACGGGAGGAGGCTGATCCTGGCCTTCGGTGCTGGTGCTAATCCTTCGGCCACCTGGAAAGCCCGGGAGTGTTGCCACCATCGCGTGGGTCGGGATCACCTTCCCTCGGTGGAGGCACGCCGCCGATGTTGGTGTTGGTGTCAACCTCTAGGCCTCCGAAAGGAAGGCGGCGTCCTTGCGCTGCTCGTGGAGGCGAGGCCAGGGCGAGGCACAGAATCGGGCGGGAAGGCGTCGAGGCGCTCCGAGGACCGGCGCGGCTCTGGGGGATGTCTCGGGCGCCGCGGCTTTCTCGGAGCGCTCCCGAGCGCTCTGAGAGCGTTCCGGAACGCTCTCAGAACGGCTTTCTCCTCGTCCAGCCCCGTCCGATTCGCCTCCGTTTCTGAAACGTTTGAAGACGGACACCTGCAGCCAGACCCAGGACAGAAGAACGTCCTTCGAGAACAGGAGGCCCTCCGCCAGCCCAAACTCCAGAACGCTCGAGGGTGCCTTCCCCCAGGATGCACAGGAACATCCAGCAAGCACGAGGCACATCAAGGTACCATCCGCGAGCCGACCTCGATCTTGCATCGCGGTCCAACCGTAGGTCGCCCAACTGCGCGCATCGCGCCCCCACGGTGCGCGACACGCGACCGCCTTCTGGCCCTCGCGCCGAGGAGGAGGAGGAGGAGGAGGAGGAGGAGGAGAAAGACAAGAAAAGAACTCTGGGACCCAATGTCTGTCCTTAGCTACGAGACTAAATAGTTTGGATCTAAGTACTGCAAGAGCATACTTCCCACATGAAAGGCCCTGTTGGCGGGGAAAACGCACTAGCCTAGAGACGACCCCCATGGAGGAAGTATCCAGTGGGCGACTCATGGCACCACCCCTTCACACAACAGAGCCCCTCAGAGGACACTAGGCAGGCCCCCTGGAGCCCATTCCCCGCTGCCTCCGACCCACGGGCTTCGCGCGGGCCTGAGCTACAAAAGTAAACTTAGCATCATGGGCACTCCCCCTTAAAGCAAAGAGATTCGACGTGGCCGAACGCGCCACCACAGAGACAGCTCCAGGCCCCTGCCCCCGAGGACCCCAGGGCAGGAGAGGGGAGTGCACCACGACGCTGTAGTTCTAGAAATCGCTCACTACCACGAAAAGCGGGCGGAGGAGGGGGAGGAGAGCGGCGACGGGAGGGAGGAGATCGAGGGGCCACGAATCGACCGAGGGCCGAGGCCGAGGACCCAGGACGGACCCCGAGAGACTGCGCACTATCATGAATTACGGGCTCAGGTCGAGATGAGATCGTCGATGGTACCGTCGTCGCGAGAGGCCTCCGAGAAGACCCCGTAGTAGCTGCAAGACGGCCCACACTAGTCGTCATAGGCAAAGATAGGGTAGTACCAACACTGCCACCTGCATTTAGAGACTGCTCAACGTCATGAGAATCCCCAGGCACACATACACCACTAGAAACAGCAGTCCCTCCCTGCGCGCGCGCCACTCTCGTGACCAGAGTCTGTAAACGCAAGTCTTGCACTCAATTGTGCAACTCTGTTAGACCGAGCTGCCGCCAGAAGATACTGAATCCTGTCATCAAGTTCTGAGACACCAGAGCTCCCGTCTACTGCTGCTTGCCCTCCATTTTGTCGAGCAACCTCTGGGCGTCCCTCTCGAGGGCCCCCTCGGGGGCCGCTCCATACTTGCGAATCCCCCCGATCGAGGACAGGTACTTCAGCAGTGCGACCTCTAGGTCGCGAAACTGGTGGTCGATCGCGAAAGTGAGGCGCATGAGGTTGGGTTTCCCCTCCTGCCTCCGCGTCGGTCGTAGCCTGCAGGCTCGGACGCTGGTTGCCACCGTGTCGATGTCGTTCTTCAAGATGAAGTCGTTCCAGTAGGCCTGGAGCGCCTGCTGGACCTCGGGAACCAGGCCCGCCTGCGTGCCGATGCTGCGGACGAGCGCCACCCACACCTGCACGAACGGCGGGCCCATGGGAGTGACGTCGTTGGCGGCCTTGCGCCGCTTGACCTCCTGGTGGTAGTGAACGCCAGCCTGCTTGGCGGCCTGCGCCACGGCGCGGTCTGCGTCCAGTGAGTAGGTGATGAACACCACGCCGCAGAGCTCCCGCAACTCGGCCGCGTTGCCGAGGGACAGCCTCGCCAAGATCATCACGAGCGCCTTGAGAGTGCCGCCGCCGCCTTTGCCCTCCGCCATCGCCTGGGACACGAGCTCCTCTGTGCGTCCACGCTTGTGCCGCGGCAGCTCGGCGCTCTCCGCCGCGGCCGGGGCAGCGGCCAGCATCCATGCTGGTGTGGCCTCCATCTGGAGGAGAAGGTAGAGGATCAAGGTGAGACCGTAGATGCACCTGAAGCTCGGCCAAAACGCCTGCCGAGAAAGAGCACAGAGGACAAGCCAGTGACGATGGAATACAAGCCTTGGCCAAGTTACGAGTGCTATCCCTATTACATCTGCCTCGGACCATACTCTTAGCTAAGCGCCGTCGGGCGCTTTCAAGATGAGCGAAGGTAGACAGACATACACAGCACTGATTAGTCACTGTAACTACGTTGGCCAGGGCACGGAATCCGTGATGACTAACAAGATGGTTGTGCAAAGCTCTTCGATCAGGTAAAGCTCTTCCACAAACCTCCCCAGACTCATTAACAATCATACAGGTATACATAGCCTCCACCTCCACTTCTCCCCCCGCTGCGCGTACATTAGGAGTAGAGGACACACCAGAGGGGGGAACATTTACAGACAGAGCAGCAGCGCGAAGTTGTCGAACATCGATCGTGCAAAACTCCTCGGCCCATGTAGGCTCGGCGAAGAGATAGAAATAGCGGCCCCCCAGCCGCTCAAGCAGCGATGCCCCTTCATCAATTGTAGCAAGACTATCAATGTCAGCACACATACGTACGGTCCACGGTGAGAGCTCCCCCTCCAGCCTTCCAGACAGACTCGCATGATATGTATCCGATCCGAAAAGACCCGAATAAACAAGCGAGTAGTTGACGGTGGGCTCCAGGGACCTTAGCGACACTTTGCCAGAGACGAAGACGACGAATACGAATCTCGAGCTCCAGGGGAACGAGACGCCACCATTTAAGCACAGCCCCCGAGGACAAGGTTTTAGGATGAGCTGAAGACGTCCAGTCCACAGCTTGACCAAGCATAGCCTTGCGATCATACTGTGATACCACATTCTGCAAACGAGTAACCTGCTGCACACTCGGAATAAAAGCCTCCACCCCAGAGAGAGCCACGTTGTAGATGTTGGAGATTAGAAGACAGCGCCGAAGACGGTGAGGGAGACCCCGAAGAGTCCAGAATCCGCCCATCTGATACCACGCCTGCCGAACCGCACTGACACGAGATGTAAGCTCAGTCTCAAAACTGGTAGGAGTACTAGACATCCAGGCCCCCAAACTCTTAGCAGCCTGCACCGCTTCCCCAAGGAAAACCAACTGTCCTGACTTAAGATCCCGAAGAAAATGAGCTGAGCCCTGCCCTTGCACATGAAGTAGCGTATCTTGTTTAGTTAGGTTCTGAGAGAAGCCCACCTCTGCTAGGTACTCGTCCAGCGCAGCGTTCGACAGGGTGCTGAGATGAACCAGATCACGAGGCTCCGCCCCGCGAGGTAGCACAAGCTTTTTGGTGAGATCATCCGCATACTTGGTAAGCGAGCAGTCGATGTGCTCAACACTGAATTCAAGACGGCCATCGACAAGAGTAGGCAAACGAGAGCACAGCACAGTCGCCTGCGGGTCAAAGCGAAGATGGGCATCCAGCCACTTCTGAACAGGAGGAACGAACGTACGAAGAAACGTGTTCACTGCGAACTCATCCCCCATAAGACCCCCACTCTGAGGCGAGAGATGAAGATCAGTATCATGACCCCGCAGAGTGACAACTGCACTGCGCACGCGCTGGTAGCCGTACTGAACAGCCGACTCCAAACATAAATCCTTGATAGCACGCTCCATGCATGGACGTGCACTGCTGGCAAACGCGTTCGTCAAGTCATGACCATTCGTGAGAAAGACGTAGCCTCGCCTCTTAAGCCACTCCCCCGTGACCCCCTGGACCATGAGCGCACACTCACGACGACGGTGACGTAAAAACCCATGACCCTGATCAGTGCCCTGAAGCGGGCCGCGCTGGGCCATCATCCCCGAGGCCCAGGCTTTGCCGAACGGGTCCAGGAGGTGAATCCACCGTGTTTTTCCATCAGGACGGGGAAGGGGAGCGCCACGACTACGATTCCAAAAGATCGGGATCTGCCCACAACTATGTATTTTTGCCAGGCCCAGAATAATAAGATCTCGAAGATTCTCCAGAGAATGCGGACATAGTTCAGCACCCAGCCCCGCGGGCATCTGAGATAATTTCTCTCGAGGGAAAAGTGCCAACCACCACATCTCAAGCGGGGGCGACCATTCTGGCACAGCCCGTCGTTTGCCAGCTACTTGTAGCCGGCGCAGAATGGCACGAAGATCGCGCCGACCGCACCGTAAATCTTCTTCAGAGAGGCCAACGCTGGGCTGCGCGCACGAGATCCATTGCGCACGCCATGTGGACCATTCATCCACTACCTGAGCGGCCATGCCGCCTTGAGGGCCTGGTAAACTGAAAAGCTCGCGCAGGGCAACAGAGTCGTCGACGGTTCCGCGAATCGAAGCATAGTCACGTCGCTTTGGACCGAATCGAGATCCAGCAGCCCGACGAGCCAAGCGAGAAGCCTCAGCAAGACGACGATAACGCCAGTGCTCCCGAACCTCCTCCATTAAAGCCTCCCTCCACTCCTCCAAAGCACGGCGGCGAAAGAGGCGATGAAGCCGAGAGACATCCCGTAGTCGACTCTGCACCTGCTCAACATAGGTCGGGTCAACTTCTGGCAGCAGTAGTCGGAGCTGTCTCCGTTGTTCCAGCAACTGCTCCCGTTCTAGTCGATACGCCCGCTGCTGTTCAGTTTCACTGCTACTAAAGACCTCCTGCCCCACCTCCATCAAAAGCTGATTCACCCCCTCAAAAAACTCGTCAGCAGTGGAGCGATCGAGCAGAGCGGTGAGATCATTCTCTTGAGACTCAAGGCGAAGGTGAAGCGCACGAACAAATTCAACACGGCGTTCGCCGCGCCGCAGACACCTCATAATCATATCACGATCCCACTTCAGAGGGCGTGCACGTGCCGCAACAGGAGAAATAGAAGGTGTATATAACGTCTTGACCATGATTAACAAGTGATCAGCTGGCCTCGCAGTGGGGATGATCTGCAACTCTCGGCTGACCCTCCTCAACGGACTGCTGTGAGACATGCATTCCACCAGAGGGCGCGGCAAGCAAATAAAGTCGATAGTACTGGTGCTGCCAGTCGGCCCATAAAAAGTAGGGACACGCTCGCGGGCACAATTCGCAGCACACATTTAATGTAACGACAATACCTCCCCCAGTGCAATACCAGCATAATGTGCTTGACTAGCATAGGTATGAGGAACAACCTACTTATCATCATATACCCATCCCCTACCCGCAAGGTGGACAAGACCGAGTCCGTCGTCAAGTCCAGTATTCCTATGACTGGCGTCGTCCGTGCAGGGAGGGCAGCCAGCTGACTAGCACACCACG